AGAGCCGGGCGCGCGGGCCGGGCTCGTCCACCGGCTCCGGGTGTGAGGGGGTCGAGGGGTTCGGGGGTGGCGCGGGCGGTGGCTGAGGCTGAGGGGGCGCGGGTGGCGGCGGCGGTGGCGGCGGCCCCGGCGCGGGGGTCGTGCCCGGACTGTCACCGGGCCGCCCGCCGCCCCCGCGCGCATCCATGGCGAGGCGGCGCCGGGCAGTGAGGAGCGCAGCGGCCGCCGCCACTGCCGGCCGAGCCCGAGGGAGGGCGGAGTCGGGGGCGGAGCCTCTGCGCGCGGGGGAGGGGCGGGGGCGGGAGCCCCGCCTCCACCTGCGCTACCCTCACCCCCTCACGGGGATGGATGGGGGAAACTGAGGCTAGGGTCAGCAGGCAGACTCAAGGTCAGTCAGGCACCCCCGAGACCTTGGAAAAGCGCTCAGACTTGGTTTCCCAGGGGAAACTGAGGCCAAGGACGCACCCAAGGTCACCAAGCACAGCCCGCTGGCCCCTGCCTCTGGCGCGCTGCAGACCAGGCCCTGGTCCACTCTGGGGCTCCCTCCGCGGTCTCTAGGACACCACGGGCGGGGCAACCGCTGGACGCTAACCCCTTTCTCGGCTCAAGGGGCCAGATTCCATAATAAAAGTGTGCTCCCGGAGGCCACCCGGCTCTGCTGTTTTCCCCATCTTCGCTACAGAAACCTATGAATATGTGTGGGAAGAAGTGAGATCATTCTAGGATCTAAGTTCAGTCCCTCTTCAAGCCCTGCTAGTAGGGAAACCGAGGCACAGTAAAGCCTCGAAAGCATGGTAACTAGAAGTTCCTGTGGCTGCTTGCAACCTCATCCCCAAAGGTGCTGTCAGCGTAGTAAATGCTCTCTCCAGGGGATCCAGGCTCAGCTCCTGCCTCTGCATCCCCCCCCCCGCCCCGCCCCTGGCTATCCACTTCACTCAGGCCTCAGCTACATTCTATCCTCCTGCTCTAGGGAGACATTGGCTCCTGGAGGGTCCTAAGCTGTGACCCGAGCCAGGCGACACCAGATCTGGCTCTAGATGCCCAGCAGCTTCACAGAATGGGGAGGATTGTATAATGGGGGGGGGGTGCAATACAGGGGAAGGATAGCTGGGAGTTGGTGGGAAGACAATTTTCACACAGTGGACTCTTGGGCCTTCTTGTGTATCCTCTGGGCTCCTTAGATTCTCCTGTCCTTCCCCCATCCCATTTCCCTTGACCTGCCTAAGTTCATCTATAAATCCCCTGACCCCCCTTAGACTCTTCTGATGCTTCTGGGTCCCCTCCAGACTTCTTTAGATCTTCTTAGTTCTTCCTAGGTTCTCCTGAACCAAAGGGTCCTTTATGGGTCCTCAAAGTCCCTCCAGCCTTTACCATTTCTTGCCTGAATGTCACAGGATGGAGATATGACTTGTGCCTGCTTACAGTAGGTATTCATGGTGTCAGGGGTGTGCCCTGCCAGCTGCATGTCCTCATCTGACACAGATGGGCTGCCCTGACCCTGAGGACTCCAGAGATGCCCCTGAAACCCCTCTGGCCTCCACTTTAGAACATCAGAGTTGACAGTGTCAGGCTATGTCCCGCCCCAGGGCACATGCCTGTTCCAGATGGAGGGGGATCTTTTATGTTCACCCTGGGAAGATGTCAGCTGGGCAGGTCGCCAGAGCCCCAGGACTTGTGGCCGAATGCAGGGGAGGAGGCAGCTCAGCAGCAGGCTGTCAGAGACCCTGCCATACTAGAAGACCGCTCTGCCAGTCCAGAGGTCACAAAGAGAGTGCTAACACTCAGGGATCTCGGCCTGGGCCTGCACTTGGGGGTCTTGTTGATCTGCTGTGAGTCTGCAATGACCTGGCTGCTGGTCCTGCCCACACCCGTTCTCACACCTGCCCCAGGGGTACCTGGCTCAGGGCCACCATCTCACTTGTATGTGCAAATGTGTGTGTGTGTGTGTGTACAAGCCAGAGGTCAATCTTCATTCCTCAGGAGCTGTCCACCTTTTTAAAATATCGAGCTACTTTGTTTTTTGTTTTTGGATATATTTATCTTATTTTATGTGCATATATGTGTGTATATCACATGTGAGCATGGGCCTTAATGAGCCAGAAGACAGTGCTGGCTCCCCTGGGAGTTACTTGGAACTATGGACTGTTTGCCACCACATGGATACTGGGAACCAAACCCAGGATCCCCGCAAGAACAATAAATGCTCTTAAAGCACCCAGCCTTCTTTACTCCAGTTTCTCAGCAAATTGTTTTATGCCAGGTATATTGGCCCTTGTCTGTAACACCAGTCCTTGATAAGGCAAGTACATCTCTGAATTTGAGACCAACCTGATCTACATGGTGAATTGCAAACCAGCTAGCGCTACTTGGTGAGACCCTGCCAATCAATCAATGTCTGAGTGTAGTTGTGCACACCCTTAATTTCATCTCAGCCCTATAACCCACTTCATCTCAGCCCTATAACCCCCCCCACTTCATCTCAGCCCTATAACCCCCTCCACACACACTTCATCTCAGCCCTATAACCCCCTCCACACACACACTATCTCATCACCTTTTGGAAAACAAATTGATGACCCTAGGAATGTGATCATTTGTTCCAAGGGTTTCTGTCAGCCTTCTCTCATTGTCTCAGCCCCAACCCCTCTGCCCACCCTCCCAGCAGTAACCAGTCATTTCCTATTTAGGATTCCTGGGTGTTTTGAATGGATACAGAACTAGGCCAGGGAAGGGGTGGACAGTAGGGAAGCTGGTCCCAGCAGCAATCAGCAACCAAAGTTGAACTCCTTGGCTGGCAGGATCTGGACAGTGGGCTTCCAGGCCTGAAGGGTAAGACTCCCCAGGTTCTGATCCACACAGCCCAGCATCTTCCTATTAAGTGGGGGAGGGGCTCTCTGTGTTTTTCTTTGGTCTCCTCCTGATCCTCCCGTCTGCTTCCGGAGGGCTGAGGTGACAGGCATGCACTGCCATGCCAGACTTGCCAAGATGCTCCTCCTGCAGACACCCGGATGTGGAACAGCCGGTTCATAAGGAGGCCTCGTCTCTGATGGACTTCATGGAGTAACCTTTACCTCAGTTCTGCTACCCTGCTTGACCTCCCTTGCTGTTCCTTCCTTGGTCCTTGGGTTCCTCCACAGCTGCACGATGGAGTCCAGGCAGGACAACCTGGCCCTCCTGCCCACCAGCATACCATCCTTACGGGCTACAATTGGGCAGAAGAGGTGAACCAGGAGCTGGAGAGGCACAGGCAGCCCTGTCTGCCTGGAGCGGAAGTGAGCAGCCAGCTGCTGGGCCCCTGTGGGCCCCAGCTCTGTCAATAGGCCTTTGTTTTACCAAGGCCCTGGGCACCGTCTCTGCCTGCCAGTTGGGGGCTGGGACCCCTGTGACCCTGTGGCTCCCAGAGAGTACCCCAGAGGCCAGTTTCAGATCATTCTAAATGTTTGACACATCGTCCTGTGCCCATCTCTGAAACGGAGCCTGCACTATCCTGAGCCGAGGGATGCTCAGCTTTAGTTGTATGTACAAGAACCTGGATGATGTGGGGTATGTCCCCTGGAACACTGCTTTGAAGGGGAGCCCTCAGTAAGCCTCACTTTCTAAACCCTCACTGCGCCGTTTTTTCTGGATCTAAGTCCCACAGGCTTAGGGCCCCGGAGGAAGAGAGCACAGAGAGTGGGGCTGCTCCTGCAACTGGGGGCTTGCTTCACAGACATAACCCCAGGCACACCATAGGCAGGCAGTGCTGAGTGGATATCCTGGGCTTCTAATGTCCATGTGGACACTTGCGCAGGCAGAACGGACTTTGCCCTAAGGAGGTAGTATCAGGGACACATGAGAGCGAGGTGCCCAGGTATATCCAGTTGCAGGTGCGCACTGCAGATATCCTGGCCATTTTTAGTTGCATGGCTCCAGGAACACAGGTCTTATCAGAGGGACACTGCGCAGCGCCCTCTGGTGGCTGGAAGGCAGGACTCCAGTTCCAATTTTACCTGCCGTTCTCTGAAAGGCCTAACAGTCCCCAAGGAACCCAGCTTTCCCTGAATGCCACTACTCTGGGTAGCACTCTGCTGGGACCAAAGCTGGCTGCAGGGTCCCATCTCTCTGGAGCCAAACCATGCAATAACACCCTACATACACACCTGTCCTGACCCCTGCCCAAAACCTAGGTGTGAAAGCCAGCTTGGCTTGAAGCTACCTGTCCATCCTGTGGATCCAGCAAGTACCCAGGCCCCGCCCATCTCCCCGCAACCCAGCACTTCCTAGAAAGTGGGTGTCCAACAGCTGGATCAGTCAGTACTAGGCCAGAGGGCAGCACAGGATGTCAGTGTGGTCAACAGCACCCTCAAGAGGCCAGCTTTTCTCGGATACCCTAGGGCAGTGTGGCTCTCAACCCCTGTGCAAGTCAAAGGGCCCTTTCATAGGGGTGGCGTATCAGATAGCTACACTCTGATTCAAAACAGTAGCAAAATCACTTAAGAAGAAGCAATGAGGCCGGGCGGTGGTGGCACACGCCTTTAATCCCAGCACTTGTGAGGCAGAGGCAGGCAGATCTCTGTGAGTTCGAGACCAGCCTGGTCTACAAGAGCTAGTTCCAGGACAGGCTCCAAAGCCAGAGAAACCCTGTCTCAAACACCCCCCCCCAAAAAAAAGAAGCAATGAGGGGCTGGAGAGATGGCTCAGCGGTCAAAGAGCACTGACTGCTCTTCCAGAGGTCCTGAGTTCAATACCCAATAACCACATGGTGGCTCACAACCACCTATAATGAGAGCTGGTGCCCTCTTCTGGCCTGCAGGCAGGATATTGTATAAACAAATCTTAAAAAAAAAAAAAAGCAATGAAAATTTTATGGTTGAGGTCACAACGAGGAACTGCCCTAGGAATGACACCCTTCACTGTCTACATCCCAAGCCCTGATCAACTACACCCCTCTCCAGTCCCCGATGGCAACACTCTTTCCCTCTAAGATGGGCTCTTGGAACCCCACATAGTGAACACACACATGGCGGGGTAGGTCTTTATTTGTGGGGTCCCAGCAGGCCCAGCCATGTTGTCCATGGTGGGGATGGGCTGTCTGATACAGGGACCAGGTGGTAGTTCCCTCCACCAAGAAGTCGGAGCTTACCCTTGTCTCTCCCCCATGGCCAAGGGCAAGGCCCCATTCCCGCACTCCACGGGGCTATCTGACACGCTTAAAGTCAAAAACAAAACCCCTAAGGAACAGATTCTCTATATAGAAACCTTGTTTAGTTTAAACTAGAAACAGGGGTGCTGTGGGCGGCTTGCTTCTTCCAGGTGGGCTTTCTACAAGGTGAGGCTGTCTTCACCCAGGTTGGGGTGGGTAGGCTCGGGTTGGGACAAGATGGGACACAAGAGTGGAGGTAGACACTGGCTGGGGTCAGGTGTCCAGGTGCCCACACCCCCGCCTGCTCTGCCACTCAGGTGGCATTCCTCTGGCGTACACTCTTGTCCTTGTCGTTCATGTGATGCCCGCTGCCCTTCCTGAGGAAACAAAAAAAGAGCTCAGCACTGAGAGGCACAGGGCCGGCTGACCTCAGCCCCACTGGGAGGGGAATCTGGCCATTGTTCTAAGAGTGGGGACCCACCTTCCCGGAACCATCGAGGCCCATGAAAGATGGGTGCAACACTGAATGCTGCCCCCCCCCCATTTTTACAGGACAGCAGCGGCTCCCAGGAGCACACAGTAAGCTGGACTTACAGTGGAGCAGCACCAGGGTCATCCTCGTCCAGGGTCTGGTCTGGCTTCCGTCGCTTCTCATAAATGAAGATGATGGTGACCAACACCAGGACCTCGGCCACGATGCCCAGAAAGGGCCAGAGGGCGACCAGGCGGCTACGCACGCGCAGTGTTATCCTCTCCTGGACGCTGCCCTGGTCGTTGGTGGCGTTACACATGTAGGTGCCAGGGTCGCTGCTGATGTCGAGGTTGGTGATGGTCAGCTCTGTCTTCTCCGCTGTGGATATCACGATGTACTTGCTCTCGGAGCCATTGGTGATGAGCTGGGGAAGAGGGGCTTGTCAAGGTCTGCCGCAGCCTTTCCCGCATGGTCCTCCAAGGCCCTCTGTCCCTGTCATCTCTGAAGCCTCATGTCCCACAGAGCCCTCACCTGGTCCCCAGAGTCAGAGGTCTTGAACCAGGTCCACTCGGTGATAGGAGGGTGGGACGACTCAGACTTGCAGACCAGCCTCACGTTCTCCCCCTCACTGGAGTGCTCTGACTTCTTTCCCACCTTGATCCGAGGTGGCCCTGTGAGGATAAGGCGAGAGCCTGGTGCCCAAGCTTGCAGACTGTCCCTGCCCACGCACAGCTACCTCTTGGCTACCCAGCTTACCCTCCACACGGATGTCACCCCTGCCCACGGGCTCGGGAAGGAAGATGCAGGAATAGTACCCAGAGCGGTCATTTGTGTCCACGCTGTAGGAGGCAGAGTGGTTGAGGTAAGGAGCCCACAAGTATGGTGGCCCCCTCCCGACACAGGCTCTGTGCAGTTCACGAGAAGCATGGACTCACATGTACTGCATCTTCAGGTCAGGCAGCGTGTCCTCCTGCAGCACCTTGCCATCTCTCATCCAGCGGTGGCCAACCACGTCGACGCTACTGCTGTTCAAAACGCAGGTAAGGTATGTCTTGGAGTCAGCATCCTGGACCGAGGTTACGATGGTGCCCGCTGAGAGGCCACAGAACAAAGTCAGCTTAGGAGCTAAGGGGCTCAGCCCTACACTGCCCCATACCCACGAAGGCTGCTTTTGGAATCCCAGTGGATGCACCCTGCAGCCCAAACTCCTAGGGCACGCGTCCCACTAGAAATCCATTTCCAAGGCAAGGCACTCGCTGCCCAAGACCCTGCCTGCTGCTCCCACAGCTATGGCTTCAGGGGTAGCACCAGGCCCAGATCCCAACATAACAAAACCATGTGGGTGCCTCATGTTTCCTTCACTCAGAACTAGAAACCAGTCCCCAGAAGGTTCTGGGGAGCCTGCCACCTGACTCAACCCCTCAAGTATGCAGCAGTCAGAGTGAACACTTGGGCAGCAGACCCCATCCCAACTAGACAAACACCAGCAGGGCAGCTACACAGACAACAGGATGGGAGCTCAGGATCCTCCTATGGGGGGCAGGACCAGTTTGCACCCAGCAAGATGACAGGGATGTCCCCAGGTAGGGCAGAGCAGCACCTGGTTCTACAGAGGGAGCCAGGGTTGAGCAGCACACGAGGTAAACACAGGGAACAGGTGTCCTGGCCACTCACGTTCAAGGACCACCACGCTTGCTTGGGCACGGACCCATTTGACCCTGGGTGGCTGGGTCAGGTGGTTGCGGTCAGGGTCACTGCTGGCCCGGCACTCGTAGGTGCCTGTATCCTCTGCGGTGAGCCCGTCCACAAACAGTGTGCTGGCCGCATGCTGGCGGTAGGTGGCATGGATGCGAACGCGGTCCAGCCAGGCGCCGTCCCAGAGCTGGGAGTAGCTGTCGTTGGCATCATTCCCTTCAAACCACCACTGGATCTCAGGGATGGGGCTGCCCACGGCCTCACAGTGCAGGACCACACTGCCTCCCGCCCACTGCTCCTGGGAAAGCGGCGCCTTGAGGAAGCCAGCTATGGGAGAGGGTTAGCACCTATCACTACAAGGGAGGGAAGACAGGGAGGAAGGACAACCACCAGGGCCTACCACATGGCCTGGTCTGCGGCAAACTCAGCAAACACTATCTCCTTTCAGCTTGTGGGGAGAAGAAGTTAGGCGGAAAACAAAACACAAATGGCTGGGCAAAGGTGGCTGCCACCAAGTCTAAAGTCCTGAGCTCAACCCTCAAGACTTGTGCACAATCAACAGACACACAAGACAGACACACAAATGTAATTTTAAAAGGAAAAACAGAAAACAGGAGCCAGGTGTTGTGGTTCCCCTGTAATTCCCTCACGTGGGAGGTGTAGGCAGGAGGGCTGCAAGGAATTTTGAGACCAGAGGGACAGTGGTTAAAGTTGTCTCCAAAATGAAAAAGTAAGACAGGACAAAGGGACCCAGGACACTCAGGTCCTTGCATGTCTGCACAAGGCATGGATGTGGATGTGTCTGAAGGTACAAGCATACGGGTTTGGGCCCTGAGGCCCTGTATTGGGAGGTGGGGACCAAAGTAGGTACCTGTCACCTATGTGGCCCCAAGGCACACACAGCAGCTCTGACGGTGAGCTGGTTTCCTAATAACCTACATTCCAGAGCTGAGATCTCCCAGACCTCTGGGCAAGTGGGTGTGGCAAAAATGAGGGTAGGAGAGGCCATAGCCTGGCCCTTTCCCTTGGTTCCCTTCCCTGCCCACTACTCCAGGATGTCTCTATCAATGTCAGCTTACCTGGGGCTGCCAGTCAGGAAAGACAGGTGCCCCCAGGACCACAGCCCCAGCAGGGTTTCTGAAGAGGCACTGAGAATCGTCCATCAGGAATATGGCTGCCATGTTCTAGGGAGCAGCCGAATGGCCACAAGGCAGGCCATTAGGACCCACTAGGTAGTCCTCAATCTAGTCTCAGGGATGCAGGAAGGCCTGTGGTATTCCTGGCATCTGTCACTGACCTCCCCAGTGTCTAGACACAGGTGGGGTGTAGACCTCTGGAAAGGTACCATCTACTCTACTTAGGCGTGACCAATACCTCTGATCCCAACCTTAGGGCCTCTGAGAAGTCAAGCTGGAAATCTGGCCACGTGACCTGCAGCCCGCAGCTTCCAGCAGTCACCTAGGTCTAAAAACAGCGCCATCCTCCCTGCCCACTCTCAGCAGGGTGGGAGCAGGGCCAGACTGGGCCATGGGTAAACAAGCCAGCACTCCAGGGTGCAGGAAGGGGGCACTACTCTGGAGGGCAGCCCATACCCAGTGTCCCGCTACCCAGGGCTGACCCAGGCTGGAGGCTCATCACCTGAGGTGATCACTGGGAAAACAGGTGTACTCCAGGCTGTGTGGAACTGTAAGAGGCCCTAGAGTCCAACCCAGCCTCACTCAGACAATCAGGAAAAAACAGGCCCTCGAGGTGAAGCCCCGCCCCATGTGCAGCAGACAGTGAAAATGGCACATTGCTGCCTGACCTGAGCCCTGCCCAAGCTGTTTGACTGTGGGGCTGTTCCCAGGAAGGGCTGGGCCCTGCCCGCAAGCTACACTTTGTGCTTGGCTCCTGGGCACTGCAAAGGTCTGTTTAACCCCAGGCAGGAAGCCACTGGACCTGTGCCCAGGCAGGGTGGGGGACTCAAGCCAGGCTCCCCATCCAGGACAGGGCAGTTTATCAGCTGTGTCCACCTTGCCGGGGGCAGCTATCTGCACCCGAGAGCCAGCCTCATAGGGCACCTCAAGATGTTTTGATGACGAGGAAGAGGGACTGGGAAAAGCAGGTCAGGATTAACCCAGGGCACTGCTGCCAGGCATAGCCCCCTCCCAAATCCACTGCTGTTGGGGATGGCAGCCATGTGCCCCAATTCTCTGGCAGAGCTTGGGTTCTGCCCTTTGCCTGCTGTCTGGAATAGGCAGGAGAGCAGCTTGCTTGCTCCAGGCCTGCCACACTGCCTTCTAAGATCCACCTTGCCGTGACCTTGAGCACCAGCCTTCCCTACCTTAGGACCTCAGTTTCCCTTTTGAGCCCCAACCAGGCTAGAACAGGCCAGATTCCAGGGCAGGAGCCAACTGAGTGTGCGGGGCCTCAGTCACCGGGAATCTCGTGCACAAGGATGATTCAACAGTTCCCAGACCTGTGAAGCTTCACTCCAGGGGCGTGAGAGCAAGGACCAGGGAGAGTGACTACAGCCCTGGACTACAGCAAGCCTGGGAGCTCACTCCAGCGAGGACGGGGACAGCTGGGAACACCTGAAGAGACCTGTGAGACTTCCACTCTCAGGAACTCCCCACCCAGATAACACCAGGGGCACAGGCAAAGCTGTCCCCCACCCCATGGCCAACTTACTCTCATTCTTACAGATTCCCCAAGAAGTGTCGTAGCCCTGAACTCAATAAGTAGATACATCAATGTGGCACCTTCCTCGGCTCCATCCCCCACATTGTCCCCAAGACCTCCCCTCAGGTGAAGAGACCAAGTGTTTGGTTTCCATTACCCTCACATCACCACAACCTCAGACACTGCCTCCCACAGGCCCAAACGTGGAGACATCGCTCCCAAGCACTTCTGGACCCCCTCCCTGCACCCCAAGTTTAGATACACTGAAATGGTAGCTTTCACCCTAGTCCCCCAGCCCCTTGGGGGTTGTTCCCCACACCTTTCCGGAAAGGCTTCCTCTCATCTACCCTGATCCTCCACAGAGTGGTAGATCTAACTTCCAAATTAGGACTGTCACTCCTACCCTGTTCCTTGAGCAGGGACACCAAGACTGCAATTCCTTCCACTCCCAGGTCCCCCAAACTTGGGATCATTTCCTGACGTGTTCCCTAGGTGGGGACCACAGTGGCAGCTTCCTCAGTCCCCAGGATAACTTCCCAGCCCTGTCTTTCAAGTGGGGGTACTGTCAGCGAGGTGATTCCTTTTATCCCTGGATCCCTAAACCAGGAGGTCGTCAATCTCCGGGGTCACCTCCCAGCTCAGCCCTGCTACCCAGGTGTTAACAGAGATAGCTCTGCCCATGACCACTCTACCTCAGAGGTGTTGTCCTCAGGGACCCCTCTTTCCCAACTCCCCCAAACTTCCAAACCCCCAGGGTCACCTCCCAACCCTGTTCCGGGAGTGGGGACAGTACGGCAGTTCTCTCCACCCCCAGTTGTCCCAAATCTGGGGTCATTTCCACTCCTGTACTCCAAAACCTCGGGATTACCTCCCAGCCCATGCCCAGGTGGGGACTACCACAAGGCGGCGGTTCCTCTACGGGTCCCCCAACCTTAGAATGTCTCCCCAGAGCTCCAGACCCCTAACCTTAGATTTGTCTCTCCAGGGCCGTTTCCCCATGATCACCTCCCTCCACCCTGTCGCCCAGCCCAGGTTGGGGGTCAACTCGAGGGTCACCCACAACCAGTTATTCCTCCTCGAGTAGGGAACCAAAGCTGTGGCTCCCTACACCACTGGGTTCCCCCAAATCTGGGGCTCATCCTAGGTACCTGTGACCCGAGTCCCAGGTCTTACCCGCCGCAGAGGCACCTTGGCCGCCCAGGAGCGCAAAGCCTAGCGCCAGCAGCAATGCCGCCGCCATGTCGACTCCTCCAAGCGCGACCCTGCTGCGGCTCTATAAGGACGGGAGGGCGGGACGCGCGCACGCGCGAAAGCACGCGAGCACGCAAGCACGCACGCACGCGGCGTCGCAGGTACGGCGTCCGGCGCTCAGCACGTACTCAGCCCCGGCCGCTCGGTGGGGGTGGGGGAGCGCTGCACAGGCCACACCCACGACGGGGTGGGACCGGGTCCTGGGCGGCCTCTGGTGGATTCAAGTTTTTCTCTCTCAGTTTTCTCCTTGTTTTTCTTTCTTCTGTTTTGTCTTTTGAGACAGGGCCTCTCCATATGCCTTTGGCTGTTCTGGGGTTTTTTTGTTTTGATTTTCAAGACAGGGTTTCTCTGTAGATTTTGGTTCCTGTCCTGGGAACGAGCTCGTGTAGACCAGGCTGGCCTCGAACTGACAGAGATCCACCTGCATCTACCTCCCGAGTGATGGGATTAGAGGCGTGCACCACCACGCCCACTCTCCTTTTCATTTAAAAAAAAATTGTAGTTGAGCTGGGTTGTGGTGGCGCACGCCTTTAATCCTAGCAATTGGGAGGCAGAGGCAGAGGGATCTCCGAGTTTGAGGCCAGCCTGATCTACAGAGTGAGTTCAAAGAGCCAGGGTGGTTCCACAGAGACACCTTATCTCAGAACAAAGCAAAAACCAACTATGGGTCTAATTTGCTCCAGAGTCTGAAGTCTGAGGCCAGAGGATCGCTTACACTGGAGTTCAAGATCAGCTAGGCAACACATACCAAGCTCTGCAGCTCCTTTGAGTGTAGGCACACTCTGCCAGGAGCTTAGGAAATGTCCAGGAAAGACACAGCCATGGACAGAGGTGATGGCGATTACAGGAGCCTTGTGTTAGAGGGCCCAGGACTCCATGGTAAAACACTATGGGCTTTGGGACCCACTTACACTCAGCCTCAGCGGCCTCTCGGAGGTTTGGGGGCCTCAGGACTGCTCAGAATCCCCAAAGCCTTCATGGAGAAAGCCTTCCAAGTTACGTGCAGAACGAGGGCCAGGGCAGGGGAGCTGCCAGCTGGCATCAAAGGGCCTTAGGGTCAAAACAAACAAGGTCGGGCCAAGTGTGGAATTCCTAACCCCCTACTTGTCCAAGCCTCTGGGAAACTTAAGGTTGGCCAGGAAGCCTGGGCCTGTGTTTACACAGAGGAGCCCAGCCCCCTCCCAGGCTTTTCTGTGTCCTCTCTGACCCTACATGGCCTGCAGCCTCCTGAGGTCCTTTTGCCTGACTATGTCCTAGCCATCTGACCTCCCAAGTCCAGCTTCTAGAGCAGCCTGGATTAGCAGATAAAACGTGGAAAGCCTTCAGGAATGGTGGTGCATTCCTGACATTCCATCCAGCACCCGGGAAGCCCGAGAATCAGGAGTTCAGGGGTTTGAGGCCACCCTGGGCTGCATGAGATGTGTCAAAAACAAAAATCAAACCAAACAAAAACGCACCCCTGAGCAAAGGGAAAGGAGGGATGGAGAGATGGCACAGCTCCTGAAAAGTACTGACAGCTTTATCTCCCCCACACAGGCAGCCTGCAGCCATCTGTAACTCCAGCTCCAGCGGATCTGATGCCTGCTTCTGGCCACCTCAAAAACAAGGCACACAGGGTGCACAAACATGCATACAGGCAAAACATTGTGCACATAAAATGAAATGAAATAAAAAAAGAAGAAAACAACTAAACACAAACTAATCCATGAAATTTGAATGTCATAATTTTAAAACTTTTTTTAGGGTCTTTTTCATCCAGTGTTTGGAACTTACACATATTGAGAATTATCCGTTGTGTATTTAAAACTCGGGATTTGTTGTTGTTGCTTTGTTTTGTTTTTCGAGACAGAGTTTCTCTGTGTAGCTCTGGCTGGCCTGGAACTCAGAGATCCCATGCTTCTCTGCCAAGTGCTGGGATAAAAAGTGTGTGCTACCGCCGGGCGGTGGTGGTGCATGCCTTTAATCCCAGCACTCTGGAGGCAGAGGCAGGCGGATCTTTGTGAGTTCATAGGCCAGCCTGGTCTACAAGAGCGAGTTCCAGGACAGGCTCCAAAGCTACAGAGAAACCCTGTCTCGAACCCCCCCCCCCAAAGTGCACTTGGCTAAAACTCAGGATATTTTTCATTTCGTTTATTTATTTATTTTACTGTACTAGAGATCACACACACACACACACACACCAGCCACTCACTCCCACAGCCTCTGACTATCTGACTACAGACGCCGCCCAGGGGAATCCAGGTAGAGCCAGAGGAAGAGGATCAAGCCCCATTTAGAGCCAGTCCCCGAGTCTGGGAGAGGAAGGAAGGACCCTCCCAGGCACTAAGTACACAGACCAGGGTCTGGAACTCTGGCTGCAGATGAGAGACCACAGCAATTCTTTCTGACTTGCCCACCTGCGGAGGACTCTTGAGGAGCGGATGGGAAGTGGAAGCACCAGGAGCTAGCCCAGCCTATAGAAAAGCTTTCCCCTTGCTTGTGCTCTGGGTGGGTGGGTGGGGCAGCTCTCTGACTCTCCCACCCCCTGGATCTACTCAGATATAATTGTAATATATACATTTGTTGTTATGTTTGGCAGCTTTTGTTTTTAACTTTTTTTTTTTTTCAAGGCAGGGTTTCTCTGTTAGCAATTCTGACTTTGTAGACCAGGCTGGCTTTGAACTTACTGAAATCCACCTGCCTCTGCCTCCTGAGTACTGGGTTTAAAGGTAAAGGCCGGGCGGTGGTGGCTCACGCCTTTAATCCCAGCACTGGCTGCACTGGTAACTGCACCCATATAGGGCACACATATATATGCAGACACACACACTAAATAAAACTAAATAAACCTCATTTATACATGAATACATAATAATAAAAATAATTTAAGCCAGGTGGTGGTGATGCATGACTTTAATCTCAGCACTCGGGAGGCAGAGACAGGTGAATCTCTGTGAATTCGAAGCCAACCTGGTCTACAAGAGCTAGTTCCAGGACAGGCTCCAAAGCTACAGAGAAACCCTGCCTGGAAAAAACAAAACAAAAAAAATAAACAAACAAGTAAATAAAATAAAGGTATGTACCACCACACCCGGTTTATTTTTTTAACTTTTATAAGAATGTTTAAATTTTTTTATTTTTGTTTTTGTTTTTTTTTTCGTGCTGAGATTAAAGGCATGCATCACCACCACCTGGCTTAAATTATTTTTATTATTATGTATTCATGTATAAATGAGGTTTATTTAGTTTTATTTTGTGTGTGTGTCTGCATATATATGTGTGCCCCATATGGGTGCAGTTACCAATGCAGCCAGAAGAGGGCAGTGAATCGTCTAAAACTGAAGTTATAGAGATTTGTGAGCCACTTTGTGGGTTCTGGGAATAGAACCCCTTCTCTCAAATGCAGCGATGACATGTGGTGGTTTGACTGACATGTCCCCATACCCTTGGGTCTGGTTTGGGAAGGTTTAGGAGGTGCAGCCTTGCTGGAGGAATTATATCACCCCATTTTCAGTTGGCGCTTTCTGTTTGTGGTTCACTGTGTGAGCTCTCAGCTTCTGTTCCTTCCACCACGCTTGCCACCTAGGGCCATGCTGCCCCACCACAGCGGACTCTAACCACCTGGAACTGTTAGCCCAAATCAACTGTCTTCCCTAAGTTGCCTTGGTCTTGTTTCATCACGGCGACAGACATGCAGTTCACATGGCAGGCATGCGCACCGTGCTGGCTGCACACAGGCTCTGATCCTGAGGGCCAGGCCTTCCGTGTTCTGTGATCGATCGTTGCTCACAGCCTGTGTGTGGTTCTGGGACAGCTGCAAGTGGTGGCAGGGTGATCTTCTCCTTGGCTCTTCTTCCGTCTTCATGGTGTGCCGTCTCTGGAATCCTGTCATGCCTCACAGGCCTCGTCCCAGCCACCTCAGACACTCAGCCTGGCTGTTTCCACTCCGCTGCAAGTCGGGATCTGAGGGGTCGGTCTGATGTCCAGTGCTGTCCTGGGGGAACCAGACAGTGCTGGTTCATGTCTGCCACCCCAGCACTGGAAGCTGAAGCAGGAGGATCACTGCGAGCTCGAGCCAGGGCAGATGAGGCAACAGAACTCATTCTTGCCTCCAGTGGGGGGAGGGAGAGAGAGGAAGGAGAGAAAAGCCACATGGGTCTGCACTACTCGGGTAGGGCAAGCACTCCGGTCTCCATATTCTTTCTTGTTCACAGAGGGGGCCTGGCTCTTCATAAGCCCCTGGCCTCCTGCTCTTCTTGGGGTTGGGTGGGACAGCTGAGAAGGCTTGGATAACACCAGTAAACATCTTGCCTGTCACATACAGGCCAGGCCCCTCTGATCTGTGTCCAGTTGGAGCCGCCCCAGAACCCTGCTAAGGGATGAGGGCAGAGAGGAAGTGCAGCAGGTTGTGACATGAAGGCTGGTGGCTGAGCTCCAGCTGGCCACTTCCTTCTTACGCCTTACCAATCTTGCTAGAGGTATAGGCAGGGACAAAGGCCACCACATCCTTGGGAAGGGCCATGAGGGTTTATGGGTAAAAGTTTCAATAATTTTTTTTTTTTTAAAGTTTTTCAAGACATGGTTTCTCTGATGTGGGATTCCCCTCTGTGTGCTGTGAGAATCACTGGGGAATAAAGAAACTGCCTTGGCCTGTTGATAGGGCAGAACTTAGGTAGGCGGGGAAAACTAAACTAGGAGAAAGGAGGCAGAGTCAGAGAGAAGCCATGGAGCCTCCACTGGAGACAGATGTGCTGAAACATTGCTGGCAGGCCACGACCTCGTGGTGATACACAGATGAATGGAGATACGTTAAACTAAGATGTAAGAGTTAGCCAATAAGAAGCTAGAGCTAATGGGCTGAGCAGTGATTCTATTAATACAGTTTCTGTGTGATTATTTTGGGGCTAAGTGGCCGGGAACCAACTAACGGCCTCCTCCAACATTTCTCTGTGTAGCCCTGGCTGTCCTGGAACCTCTCTGTAGACCAGGGCTAGCCTCACACTCACAGAGCTCTGCCTGCCTCCTCCTGTGCCCCCACACAGTTCAGCCTCAAGAGTGTTAATCAGCGGGAGAAAACCTAGAGTGAGCTGGGCCGGCTGGGAAACTAGTAAAATCCCTGTTGTACAAACACGAGGGTCTGGGCTCAGCTCTGCAGAGGAACTGAAGTGGCATCAAGGGCTGGAAATCCCAGCACTGGAAGGGAGGGAAAAGCAGATCTCTGGGAATGACTGGACAGCCAGGCTAGCCATTTCAGCGGTCCCAGGTCTCAGTAGAGGCCTCTGGAGGCGGATCTCTGTGAGTTCAAGGTCAGTCTGTCCTATGGAGAGAGTGCAGCACAGCCAGGACTAGACAGAGAAACTGTTTCAAAAAACAAAACAACAGTCAGGCACGCCTTTAATCGCAGCACCCCACTCGGGAGGCAGAGGCAGGGGGATCTCTGGGAGCTCAAGCCCAGCCTGGTCCACAGAGTGAGTTCTGGACAGGCTCCATAGCTACTGAGAGACATGTTTCAAAAAACAAATAAATAAACAAAAACCCCCGACAAAACTGAAACAACTTTTGTTGATACCGAAGGTTAACTTGCACACACACAACCCAGGGTTTCAGGGCTGTTTGTGAACGGCCAGAGATAGCACAAACGCCCCTGGAAGATGAGCCCAGCGGGACTTGGTAGCTAGCACTATAGACTCCCTAAACTCTGAGGGCAGAGGCACAGGATTACCAAGGATTTTCAAGGTCACCCTGGGACAGAGTAAGATGCCCTCTCAGAAATGACCAAGAGTCGGTGTGGTGTGTACTCCTTTAATCCTGGTGCTAGGGAGGCAGAGGCTGGAGCTGTTTCCGTGAGTTTGAGGCCAGGTGGGTCTCCATAGGGAATTACAGGATAGCCAGAGCTACAGAGACCCTATCACAAAAAAATCAAAACAAACATATAAATAAAAAGAAAAATAAACAGAGAAAGCTAGTGGGAGCTGATTAGCTGAGTGCCGGCGGCCTACCCCAGTCATCCAAAGTTCAGAACAGGCCGTGCCTGTCGCTGGGGAAGTGGAGGCGGGATAACAGGGTCTCCGCGTGTAGCCCAGGAAGGCCTCAAATCCCTAAGCCTCAGGCCTCTACCTCCCTCTTCTTTTTTTTATTAGATTTTTTTAAAACACCAATCCAAATTCCCACTCCGTCCCCTCCTCCCATTCCCTCCACGACCCTCCCACCCTCCTCTTCTTCTAAGATTTACTTTTATTTTGAGGAGGGGGCTTCAGAGGACAGGAGGTGTCTGAGCCCCTGGAAACTGAGTCACAAGTGGTCAGTGAGCCATCATGTGGGCGCTCTTTGCAAGAGCAGCCAGTGCTCTTAATCTCTGAGCCATCTTTCCAATCCCCCCACTTCCACCCCACCCCGCTGCGCTCTGGCTGCATAGCCCTGCCTGGTGTGGAATCCTTGCCCTGGCCGCCTCAGCCTCTGAGGGCTGGGATCCTAGGTGTGCCGGCGCCACCCCAGCTTTGTTTTCCCTGCCATTCGCCTATAAAACCAAGCTAATCTGCTGATACCTTTGAAACCTATTTTACGGAGCCAGGTGAGGCAGGAGGGATGTCCCTGGGGCATGGCAGAGAACAAGGCTGAGTCAATCCAGCATTTTGGGACAAAGTGCAGGGTGGAAAATAAGTCGCCCAAAGGCGTTTGAGCTTCATGGCTGTAATTCCACCCTCTGACTTCTGGCTGGCCTTTCTCAGACTTCCTGTTCTTGCAAAGCCGTTTTGTGAAATGAGGGGAACAGCTAAGCAGAGCACGCTCCCCCAGCACGGAGGTCAGGTGGGTGTGAGCAGCAGCAGCGACAACATGGCTGCCACCCCAGCACCCAGGCCTGGAAGGGGTTGTCAGGAGGTCATTCTCAGTTACATGAGACTGGGAATTTTAGGCCAGCCTGGGCTGCGCGGCACTATCTCAAGGGGAAAAAAGAATATTCTGGGAGCAGGCTGTAGAGATAGCTTACCCCCACTTTTGAGACAGGGTGTCATATGGCGCAGGTTGACTTTGAAATAGAGGCAATCCTCCTGCCTCAGCCCCCAACTGCAGAGAGGACAGGTAAGGGCTGAGTGACAGATTTCCCAGGCACCCTTGTTGTGAATGTATTTTACACACCCGTAGTGATGATTTCTCTCTGGCTGATCCGCTTTCTGTCATAGGAAACCAGGTAGTCAGAAGAGGGAGGATCCCATACCTGCCACAGTCTGGATGGACCCTGAAGACACAAAGACTACACAGTGTGAAACCGCACGACAGATGTCCAGAAGAACCCAGAGAGGGACGATGCCCTGGGCCTAGGGGGGGACTGGAGGGACCTCTCATGGACATGGGGCTTTGTTTTAGGGTGGAATGTTCTGGAACTGATGCTGGATGTGCTGACACCCACTGGAACGACCCTTTAGCTGCTGTGTTGGGGATTGTGTGGAGCCTCCCCATCTCTCCAGCTCAAGGGAGAGCTGCAGAGGGCAGCTGGAGCCCCCTGCTGGCAGACCTGTTGCCATTGTTCTTGCCTTGGCACCCTGCAGGCAGGCTGGTGTTAGCCACCAGAAAACAGAGGCTTACGGAGGTCAGAGGCAGACAGGGCTGGATTTTACAGACACATCATCATTTATTGGTCCTCAGAGGTACACCTAGTCCCTCCCCACTCTGGTCAGCGAGCGTGTCCTGGTCATCACGCCAACGACGGATGACCTTCCTGATCCAGGGGATGTAGGGGGCTACAGCGGTGGCCACAGGGGGCTTGAAGATGTCTGTGCAGCTTTTGGAGCTGAAAGACAGGATCCCATCCACCTGGCCTCTGCCACACACCAGGGGTCCTCCGGAGTCGCCCTGTTGAAGGTGATTGATATGGATGAGTTTTTTGTGCCTGCGGAGTGGACCAGGGGCCTGGGATGCCCTGGGTTTACAAGCCACAGTGCATCCTTGCCTTCCTATCTTCCTTCCCCTTTTCTTTCTTCTCCTTTCTACCCCAGGGCCTTTGCTCTGGGCCTAGGTGACTAGTCTGTGGGCTGGATTTCAAACCACAATTCTCTGGCTTCCTCCTGACTTCTAACCTAGACAGTGTGTTTACTCTCCCAGAGCCTCGGTTTCTGCATCTGAGAAATGAGATGAGTGTTACCCCCACCTCGCCCCATTGAAGGTGTCAGAAGCCAGCTTGAGTTGCCGCCCAAGCCTGCAAGTCCCCTTCACCTTGCAGGGCGCCTGGTTCCTGGCTGCTGCTGCTAAGCACAGCATGCCCTCCTCAAGGGCACCGTTCCAGAAGCGGCTGTTGTTACACATGCGGGTGTCCAGGACACTCAGCTCCAACTCCTGCAGGGCGCGGGCTAGGGGCCCACCATGGTGGGTCCTTCCCCAGCCAGCAGTGCTGCACTGAGCACCTTCTGCCGGCCTGGCTTGGTTCTTTCTGGGCAGAGCCAGCGGCTGGACATTCCTGCTGGGCTGCAACCGTCCATCCAGCTGTGGGGACAAGAGGAGCAGTGAGTGTCTGAGGAAGTCGGGCCATGGCAGGCCCTCAGGCCCTCCATCCTGCACCTTTAACAGCGCCAGGTCGTTTTCATAGTTGTTGTTGTAGCCAGGATGCTTGATGGCTGCCTTGATGTGGAAGGTGAGGCCCGGATCTCGCAAGTCATGGAGGTGGTGCAGGCCTAGCACCAGCTTCAGCTGCTGTACCCTGCAATGCAGAACTCTGTTTGCACACAACCGCCCGCAGCCTGAGAGCTGTCGTTCCTCCTTCCCCACACCCACGGCATCCTCCCCAGCCCACTCCTGGCAGATCATCTTCCATCTTCACGGACCCCCTACCCCCACCCCCTACCCCAGACTTCCTGCTCTGGCTCCTGCCCAGCGCCAGATCGCCAGATCGGGAGACTCTGAAGACTTCCTGCATCTATCCAAACGACAGCGAAATAACCTCTTTCCACAAGAATCAGGGATCCTCGCTTGCAGCCAAGTGAGAGACCCTCAAGGGAATAGACTTCTGGAATACAAGAGCTAACTTCAGGTTTTTTGTTTTGCTTGTTTTTAAGATAAGATCTTAATATTGGTCCTGGCTTTTCTGGAACTATGTAGATCACTTAGAGATCCCCTGCCTCTGCCTCCTCGAAGGCTGGGATTAAAGCACACCTTCAGGGCTCAGAGTTTTTTCCTTTAGTGTTGAGGATGAGATTTGGCATTAGGCTGGCACTCCCAGGGTGCATCCCTCCCAGGATGGATGTATTTAGTGATGTCTCGATGGCAGTTCTTGCTATGCAGACTTGGTCTCCTTGGCAGGTTGGCTTTCACAGATTGTTAGGGGTCACAGGAAGGAGCTGTCTTTTCCACTTGACCAGAACCAACAGCCTTAACCCTCAGAGGGTTGGCCTGAGTCCTTCAGCCCTTAAGATAGGGAGTCTTTGGAGGTTCGGGGGAGGGGGTGGGATACTCACGGTTCGGACAGGCAGTGGGCAGCCGTCAACACCCACTTTAGATGCACGAGGACTCCTCCGCACACATGGGACCCCGATTTCTGTAGAGAGGCCATGTATGGGCGAGAGTGTGGAGCTGCCTCTTGACCCCCAATGATGTGGGTCTCAAATGTGTTACCTGCTGAGAAGTGAGACAGAGAGGGCAGGTTAGAGAAGCTACATCTCTACCCTCCACTGAGCCTGGAAGCCCTGAATCTAGCAGATCTGTGGTCTGAAATCCCCATTGTCCCCTGTCCCAGACGCAATGAGGCCCCAAGGCTCAGATGCTCCTCAGCTGTAGGTCCAGGCTGGAGACAGAACCTGGGCTCAGTTTCCAGCACCCACTCCGGGGGTGACTCATAGCTTCAGGGGATCTGACGCCCCCTTCTGTGCTCTGAAAGCACTGCACTCACCACCACCCCATGTTACAAAATAGAACACAAAATGAGAGGAAAGGTTACTGGTAGCCACAGGGGTGGGGGGGCATGTATGGATGAGGGACTGACCCCTCTGTTTCCAGTGGACAGGAGTGGGTTCTGATATTTGCCATATCAATGGAACAACCTTCAGGACACGGTGCTGGGGAAAATCCGACATAAAAGGCCACACGGTGTGAAACTTCATAACAGGAAGTGGATTTGTGGGTGCCAGAGTGTGGGGGTAGGTGTTCTTAGGGTTGTGGAAGTGCCTACACTCTTTGTTTGTTTGCTTTTTTGTTTTCTTTTTTGAGACAGGGTATCTCTGTGTTGTCTTGGAACTCTCTAGATGAGGCTGGCCTCAAACTCAGAGATGTCTGTCTCTGCCTCTCGAGTACTCGAATTAAAGGCCTGTGCCACGACCACCCAACTGGTGCCTACAGTCTTGTGTGGCTCTGGACGTCAGTGAGCTGAGCAGCGTGTGGATTATCCCTCTATGAACATCACGGATGTGTTGATTGAGGATGCCTGGCTGGGCTCAGCGTGGAGAGCTTACCCATTGCACACAAAGCCCTGGCTGTTCTAGTCCCCCCACACCACAGAGACAAGGTCTAGTGCTGCATGCCTGTAATCCCAGGCCTGGAAAGGTGGGAACAGGAGCAGGGCAGAGACAGGCGTATCTCTGTGAATTCGAAGCCAGGCTGATCTACAAGAGCTCCAGACAGGACAGGCTCCAAAGCCACAGAGAAGCCCTGTCTCGAAACCAGGAGGTGGTGGCGTGCGCCTCTAATCCCAGCACTCAGGAAGCAGCAGGTGATCTCTGTGAGTTCAAGGCCAACTTGGTCTATGGATCTATGGAGTTAGTTTTGGGACAGCCAGGGCTACACAGAGAAACTCTGTCTGAAAACAAAACAAAATTTAAAATAAATATTGATAAAAATTTAATGTGAACCAACTCAAAATCTCCTTGATTTCCCATCATGTCCTAAGGATCCTGCAGCGCCCTGAGCCACATGGCCAGTCCACACTTACTCCAGACAGCCTTTCCGGCCCCACCACTACTTCCTTGGAGCTGGTTCCCATGCCAGAAGAGAGCCGAGTTCTCTGTTATGTATGAATCCTGAGCTTTATTTTATAGAGACAGGGTTTTCCCTGTGTAGCCCTGGAACTCACTCATAGACCAGGCTGGCCTAGAACTCACAGAGATCCTCCTGAGGGTGCACCACCTCCCCCAAGCTCAATTCTGGAAGCTAAAAAAAGGGGGGGGGAGAAGAAAAAAAGAAACCTAAACCAAGAGTAAATGAAAGAGAGACCTTTGATTTCATGGGGCCAGTGTGCACACTTGAAGGCTGACCTGTATCCGCAGAGCCTTGCAGTCAGCAGCCATAACTGAGTAGCTTTTCTACCATCCAAGGAAGCCTCCCACCCGTGTATGCTTTCTTCTTTTTCTTCCCCTTGAAAAAACAAACAAACTAACTTTTTTCTGAGACAGTGTCTCATGTAGCCCAGGCTGGCCAGGGACTATGTAGCTGAGAGTGACCCTGACCTCCCAGTCTTCCTGCTTCCACCTCAGCAGTGCTGCGAGGACAGGCTGGCACAATGCCTGGTGGGACATGCTGGGTGAGGGCTCTGCCCTCTGAGGCACAGGGACTGAGGCAGGTTCGGTGGTGTAGCCTGAGCTACAGTGTATCTCCATCAACTCTCCAAAGTTACTGTGTTGTAACCACACAGAGAGACCAATGGCTAATCAGCAACTTAAGGAAGAGTCTTTATACTTGCAAAGAGTCAACTTCCTCCTCCACTTTTTGCTTTGGAGAAGGTTCTAGAAGGTTCAAAACAATTATGAGTGTAAAAAATTTGGAGGGTGGTGGCACACACCAACACCTCTAATCCCACCTCAGGAGGCAGAGGCAAACAGGTCAGCCAGGACTACAATATTAAGACCTCGTCTCAAAAAAGTGTGTGTGTACCATGAACATGTGCGGACGTGCACATGTGTATGGAGGTCAGATCAAGTTTGGTGTCTTCCACACGCTATACCTTAAATGTTTGTGGCCAGGTCTTTCCCAGAGCTTGCTTGAGTCCCAGGGATCCTGCTTCCTGCTCTAGAGCTGGGGTTGTAGGCGGAAGGCATCACCTGTTGTCCTCCCCTAAAGATGCTTTCACTATGTAGCCTTGGCTGGTCTGGAACTGGCTGTCCTCCATCTCACAGAGACCAACCTGCTTCTGTCTCCCCAGTACTGGGATTAAAGGCGTAGCCACCACTGCCCGGTGGGGTGGCTCTTCTTGTCAAGGTCTAAGTAGCCCAGGCCAAACCGAGTTCAGAGATGAAAGGCATGTGATGCTGCTACGTTGGGCTCCCCTCGCTCCCCTTCCCTGCTGTTTTTTCAAAGTAGGGTCTCAGAAGAGCCAGCCCACCTTAAAGTAACTAGAGCTGAGGGTGGCTCTGAATCTTGCGGTCTCCTCCTGCAGTGCTGGGATGACAGGCATGCGCCATCTCAGGATGGAACCCAGCCTTTGCGTATGCCAGGCACATGGCCCACTAACTTAAGCTATATCCTAAACCCATGGCAATCCTCCTGCCTCACTCAGCAAGTGCTTTTTGTAGAGGCTATTCCTCAGGGATTTCTCAGTAGGCAACCCCACCTCTCCCCCCCCAGGCCCCTGAAGACTGGCTCCCTCTTCATGCTCACCTGCCCACAGCGTCTCCAGAGCTAGCAAGAGCAGCAGGGACTGGTGGACCTCCATGCTGGCGCAGATGTGTGGTCTGGGGTGTGTCTCCCCACTTTCTTTCTGTGAGGACAGGTGGCCTTCCAAGTTCCGCCCACCTAGTACAAGTGACAGCTCCTCCCTCACACCCTGCTCTGGGTGGTTTTAGAAAGTGTCTCTGGAGACAGCAAAGGTGGCAGCTATCAAATCCCCAGTGTTCCTTTCCCTGTTGCTTTTACAAGTCTTTTGCTTCCTTTAGCACCGTTCTGATACCTAACTCCCACAGAGGCAACTTGCAGGGCCAAGTCTCTCCTTTCACCACATGGGTCCTTACTGAAACTCCTGTCCTCGGGCTTAGTGGCAAGCCTTCACCTACTGAGCACTGTTGTTGGCTGGTCTGATCTCTACGTAGACCAGGCTGGCTTCAAATTGTGTGTAGTAGATGATGGCCTAAAGATTTTTTTTTTTTTTTTTTTGAGGAAAGTCTCACTATGTAGCTCTGGTTGTCTTTGAACTCACTGGGGCTGGCTTGAAACCACCAAGATTAGTCTGCCTCTGTCCCAGAGTGCTGAGACTATATGTGTGCACACCCCCACCCCTACTTAACATTTTTTTCTCCTAAAGATTTATGGTTGGTGTCTTGCCTGTTATTTCTGCCTACAGCCCAGAAGGGGCAGATCTCATTACAGATGGTTGTGAGCCACCACGTGGTTGTGAGAAATCGAATCAGGACTTTTGAGCCATCTCCCCAGTTCCCGCTTTCTTACCATGTTAACTAGAAGTGAACTGTCCCCAACTCCCCAGTCTCCTTCCGTTACAAACTTCTTTGTCCTTCTGTGACCAGCTGTGACTGGCAGGGTCCCTTTAAGCACAGTTCAGTAGACTACTGCTCCAGAGACAGGAACTCTGGACATGAGAGGCCTGCGATGGGGAAGGGGCACCAAATGCTGCTTTTCTTTTTTTTCAGCAGGATTCCTCTGTGTGACCACTCTGGCTGACCAAGAACTTACTCTGCCCCCCAAGTGCTGGATTAAGGGGTGCCCCACCGCCACCTGGCCTTCCTTTCCTTTATCCGCATGGCACCCACAAGCCATCAGAGACCTCAAGTTCCACCCCCAGCGCACTGGAGACAAAGGACAGGTCTGTCACCGCGGCACGGGGATACTTTGGCATGTTAGAGTAAGACTCACCCTACCCTTTTCTTGGGGAGTCACCAGGCTGCAGCTCAGTCCACCAGCCACAGGACCACAAGGACTGCTGGGAATATGGACCCTCCACATGCCCCTGGATCCAGGGCTTTCCAGAGCACAAACCTCAGGCCTAGGCCTCCTGAATGAAGGCCAGCAGTAGAGGGCATGACCTGCAGGCAGCAGGGAGCTGCGTCCGGGCCTGGAGCCCACGCAGACCACTGAGCCCGATGAAAAGACCAGTAAAAGTGCTTCTTCCTGCCCAGCCCACTGCCCTGGCGTCCTGGCTGTTTCTCCAGCTTCTCAGAAAGCCATTTTATTTGGGTTTCACACACACCAAAGCAGAGAGGAGGTGACTGTGGGGCTGGCCCTGCTTGGGCTGGGATGGAGTCTCTCCTCCCCACGAGGCGGTTCCCAGCCTCCCAGGCTTGTCACCATCTGTGAGTTGAGTGGGGGGTATCTGCCAGGCACCACGGGGTAAGAGGACCTAAGGGTCACGGGATGGGAGCCCACATGGAACCTCAGTGAGGTAGTCTATCGCCTGAGGCCCACACGGGTCCTGCTGAGGTAAAATTTGTAAGTTTATTTCGGGGACGCGGATCAGGACTCCTCGGTGCCAGAGTCGTCCTCTTCATCCCCAAAGCAGCTGTCGGCCTCCTCCACGTCCCCGTCCTCATAGTAGTCATCATAGAAGAGGTCCGAGCCCTCGTCGGGCGCCGGCGCCTTGGTCTTCACGCAGTACTCAGCCAGTGTGGTAGGCACCTTCACGCCATCACGTTCTGCGTCCACCTTGGTCCCAAAGACCTGCTTCCTGGGGAGACAGGGGAGGTAAGGCCACGGCCCAGGAATCCTGGGATTCCAAAAACAATGGATGGAGGGTGAGGAGCAGGTGAGAGGAGGGGACCAGGACACAACAGGTGGCTCACAGCAGCCCCTAGACAGGAAGTAACCACAGCCAGGTGCTGGACACAGGCAGGAAGTGCTGTGAGTCTAGGGCCTGCCTGGGTTAGCGGGACCTGTCTTAAATGATACACAGAGCCAGAGAGACAAGGCAGTAGAAGCACCTACTGTGCAAGCAAAGGCCCTGCAGGGAAGGTGACAAAGCACTTTGTCCCTGGCTTCTGTGCGTGCACCCACCCACACACCACATTGACAGCAAACAGCCGAGGCACTGAGGAAGGGCGGGCCTGGGGGAAGAGACAGGGGCAGCAGCAGCCTTGGCTGTACTCTGGAGCAGCAGAGCCAGTGTCCCGGCACAGGGGCAGTGACTAAAGAAATCAAGCCAGGGTAGGGGGGCTGGAGAGATGGCTCAGAGGGTAAGAGCACTGGCTGCTCTTCCAAAGGTCCTGAGTTCAATTCCCAGCAACCACATGGTGGCTCACAACCATCTACAACCATCTGTAATGAGAAGATCTGGCGCCCTCTTCAGCATGCAGAACACTATGTACATAATAAATACACCTTAAAAAAAAAAAAAACCAACAGGAAAAAGAAATCAGCCTGGACCAGAGCCTCAGGTTCCCCCAGGGTCAGGCCACCCTCAGGGTGCAGGTCCCAATGGGAGAGGTGAAGAGTAGGGCAGACGCTGGACTGAGAAGACACTGTTGGAGGACCTGTCTCACACTGGCTCTCAGGTTGGAACCCAGGAGCAGCACGGCCTCCTCGTGGTCATAGGAAGTGGCTCCTGGAGTCAGACTGGTAAAAACAGCCTGGGGTATCTGCTCTGGGACAGGGGCAGCATGGAAGCAGCCAGGAGAACTGGGCCAAAGGCTGCCAGGAGGCAGGAGACCTGCAGTGAACAGACCAGATCCAAAGCCTCCACTGGCGCCTGTGCCCAGGGGTGCTCCGTGCAGGACAGAGTCCGGTGCAGCCCATCAGACACACCAAGACCCAACTGCCAGGCTGACCGGAAGTGGGTGACAGGAAGGGCTTAGTGTGCCCAAGGTGACCTCAAGCTTAAAACAGTTACAAATGACAGAACAGCCCACAAAACCAGGCTGTACCTAAGCTGCTGGTGGTGGCACATGCCTTTAATCCCACCACTCAGGAGGCAGAGCTGGGATCTGAGTTCAAGGTCAGCTAGTTCCAGGACAGCCAGGGCTACAAAGGAAAACTTTGTCTAAAAAACCGAGAAAAGGCCGGGCGGTGGTGGCGCACGCCTTTAATCCCAGCACTCGGGAGGCAGGCGGATCTCTGTGAGTTGGATACCAGCCTGGTCTACAAGAGCTAGTTCCAGGACTGGCTCCAAAACCACAGAGAAACCCTGTCTCGAAAAAACAAACAAACAAAAAAACAAACAAACAAAAAACCCAAACAAACAAACAAACAAACAGAAAAGAAACCCCACAGGGCTGCTTGCCTTCTTCCCAGCTGGGGATGGCAAGAGGGTAGTGAGCTGCAGGCAGCCTGAGCAGCAGGGGACAGGGCTGCAGGGACTTCCAGACCATCCTCAGCACTCAGACCTGCCGATGTAACTAATTCCTCCACACAGGAGGAGAAGCAAAGGTACGTTCTGTTCTGATCTGTTAAAGACCCCTATCCAGGGTCTTGCTGGACCAGCACTGACCACCAAGCTATAGTCCATGTCAATTCTGAGAAGCTAGGCCTGCCTTCTGCAGGACAAGGCACAGGGGTCCCGCTGGGCGGTGCTCGCCCTGTCCATGGCCCAGGCCGACATGTACGGCTTGCTCAGCATACCTGCTGATAGGCCTGGGCACAACATAGGCCTGCGTGCTTGGGTATGCGGACAAGCACCCGTCCTCCTGGGTGAGTGCTAAGGCGGAGACTGCTGCCTATGAGGTGTTTTGTCATCCTGGCATCAGGAGGGAACTTGAGGAGGAGAACATGGGGTTCTAGGAAAGCCTGTCTCAGAAAACAGAGAAGTCAAGTGACCGGAAATGTGGGTACCTGTGTGGACACTCAGCAGGGCCGAGAAGCTGCAGGGCTTGACATTAGCCTAGAATCCTGCAAGTTCAATTCCACAACCAGCTTTAGGGGTGCAATGGAGACCACCTGATCCCCGAACAAGCCAGGAACAAGCTAAAAGCTGATGACGGAGATGGACGTGGCTCATGGTGGGTGTGACCTCCCCCTCACAGAAGGGCTCACACCAACAGTGAGGACTGTGGCATAGAGTGCTCTCGTCACCCATGGAGGTAAGCCGGAGGTAAGCCGAGGGATGAGTCAGTGCTCTGGGCGGGGCACACAGACTACAGCAAGTAGCATCTCTGTAGAGACCCAGCAGCTGTCCTGGCTGGTACTGGCACTCACCGGATGATGTCCGTGTACTCCCGGTCCTTTCCCTTGCTCTCCTTCCACTTTCTATACATCACCGAGGCATCCACATTGGCGGGCGAGAAGGTGTTGGGCTCATTCAGCAGGGAGATCACACTCAGGAGGATGGTCCTGTGGGGCCGTGGGACAAGCTCAGTTGCCCGGAGACCCTGGGAACCCCTGACTGGTGGAGCAACGAAGGACAGGGTGCAGGGTGTCTCGGGGTACCCAAGGTGCAAGGACACATGCAGTTCTCACCTGACATTCTGTGTGGGGTTCCACCGCTCTGAGGGCAGCTCCCCACTCTGAGGGTCGTCAACTGGGGGATGGAGGATGGAGATGCACACGTCCCCTGTCTGCAAAGGTAACAGGATCAGATGAGCTGTGGGGTGAGCGGAAAGGTGGCAAAAGGTGTGTGTGGTGGGGTGTACCAGAGGTACGCATCTGTAGTGCTGGTAGTGACTTACTTACCTCATAAATGTTGGGGTGCCACATCTTGGTGAGGAACCGGAAGGCTGGTGGGGAATATGGGTAATCGATGGGGAACTTGAGGCGAGCCTGCAGGTGTCAGAAATGGCAGTCCACTAAGCACCTGCATTAGGCGCTGTGCCCAGAGGATGAATAGTGTCTGTGACAGGTCACCTGTCTCTGTGCCCTGGCATCCAGGTGAGGAAAGACAGAGTGACAGCTACCCGCTGTGGGCCAGCCAGGGAATGCATCAGTAGGTCTCCCACCAGCACAGCCCAGGCTCAGGGGAGCCACCCGCCTGGCCAGAGCAGCTGTTTATGGCTCAGGCTCACCCTCCCCACTGCCCTGCAGACTCTAGTCTGGTAGAGGAGAAAGGCCTGACATTTGCCCTAGTTTTGGGGCTCCCCTAGGGCAGTCTCTGGAGTGTCCCCTGGGCAAGGAGAACAAACACTTAAAGAGCAGTGATCTGTGACCTCAGAGCTAGCCAGTATTTCAAGCTGGAGGCTCTGCCCCACCGCTCCTTCCAATTGGACCAGATATAAACAAACCTAGTGCGCAGTTTCTAGCCCTGCTCCCCTCAGGACAGCCGAGAGGGGAACAGAACCTGTCACTTCTATGACTCCAGATGCTTTTTAAAAATGAGCAAACAGGTAGGGCAGTGGTGGCACACGCCTTTAATCCCAGCACTCAGGAGGCAGAGACAGGCGGATCTCTGTGAGTTCTAGGGCAGCCTGGTCTACAAGAGCTCCAAAGCTACAGAGAAACCCTGTCTCAAAAAACTGAGCAAAGGGAGGCTCAGCATCGGAAAAGCTCCCACCCATTCCTGGACAGTCCCATTCAACACAGACAGGCTGGCCGTCCAGAGGAAGCTCTTAACAGCTCCCCTCAGAGGGGCTCTATGTCTTAACCACCCACAGCACATAGGAGGCACCTACGCTGGCAAATCTGACTGACATCCTGCAGAGCCTCTTCCCAAGCTGTACTTAGAATAATGCGAGCCTAGGAGGCCCAACCCACCATCCTTTACAGGTGGGGAGCAGCTCAGGTGTCCATGCAGTGGAGACTCCAGGAGGTATTAATAGCATCTGGATAGCTCAGAGGCTTCCCAGTCCAGACCGCAGTCCAGGGTGGGAGACAAGGGCACCCACACATCTCCCATTCTCCATATGCTGCACCCTAGAACTCTGACTCTCAAGTTACCCTGGCGGAGTAGACTACCACAGTCCCAGTTACTGCCCAGGAAGGGTGAGGACACAGGACCTACAACTGGGACCTGGGCTGGCTAGGATCTGTGCATCCACCTAGTCCTCACCGTGCTCCTCTTGGCCCTTGAACAAGATCGAGTTTGCTAGGAGTTCCAGTCCACAGCAGGCAGGATGGTCCAACTGCACTGATGTGGATCCCTACACTTGGCAACATCGGGTGCATTGAGCCTTAAGCCACCAGAGGGCAGATGACACTGCCTGCAAGGCAAAACTAGGCCTCCAAGAAGCTACCTGCTTTGTGGAATCTGAGAAAGGCAGCCCCGGGGCCAGCAGAGAGCTCTAGGAGGCAGAGGCCTGGGCAGGAATCCAGGTTGCGACTCTGAAGATCGAGGTGGGTAGGTCGGCCCCTGCCTGCACTGTCCTCTTGGAATGTATTACAGAAAGCCTGGCTATGGCTAAAGATGGTTGCTGTCCAAGTAGGCATGGCTGCCAAAGCCCTGTCAGGGCCTCTGCTGGAACTGGAGCAGGTGGCGTCCAGGCTGTACATCCCTTCCCTGGGGACACACCAGCCAGCAGCTACCCCTGGTCCTGTGTCCTGGAGCGGGGAACAGCCTGAGGACATGCCAGCAAGCAGCTGTCTCTGAGAGTTTGTGTTCCAGAGTGGTGGACTGCCTGGGGATGCCAGGCAGCAGCTGCCCCTGGCTCCCCCCCCCCCACAAGACAGGGTTTCTCTGTAGTTTTGGAGCCTGTCCTGGAACTAGCTCTGTAAGACCAGCCTGGCCTCGAACTCACAGAGATCTGCCTGCCTCTGCGTCTCGAGTGCCCCTGGTTCTTTATGTCCCGGGATGAGGACAGCCTAGAGGAAAACATGCTTGCCGGCAGGGGGTTTCGAAATCTCCTGTGTCCTGTAAGGGGCCTGCCTGGGGACAAAAAAGTCGCAGTTGCCCCTGGGGATCCCCTTCACTAGAGCATGCTGGGAGAAGTCGGGACAATTTGGGGACATGCTTGGTCGAGTGCAGAACAGCCTGGGGACAGGCCAGTCATTGGTTGCCCCCGGTCCTCTGTTGGAGGACAGTCCAGGGAGACCAGATCCGGGGGCTAGGTCAGCAGGTGCTCAACAAGAAAGGAGGGCCCGCCTTGCACTCAGGGTCTGAGACAACCCGAGGGCGAGAGGGTACAAAGGGGAAACTGAGGCCCGTCTCACCTTGAAGTAGCCGCCCTCGTAGTAGGTGTTGGGGGGCCCGAAGATGGCTACCTCCCAGTTGTACAGGTCGCCCTCGTCCACCAGCGTCACCCGGAAGCCCTCCACCGGCTCCTCCTGCAGCCCCTTCAGCTCCAGCAGCAGCGCCTTCTGCGAGCTGGGCACCAGCTGCCTGGCCATGACGGTGGCGGCGGCGGCGGTGGAGGGGCCCGGGGCCGGGCCGGGCCGCGGGACCGGCGCAAGCTCGCGGGACGGACCGGGTCGCGCGCCGGCAGGGGGAGAGCCGCCGCCTTCCTCCTCTGCACCGCCGCCGCCGCCACCCGGGGACCCCGAAGGCTCCACTCGCTCTGGCGCCGCTGCCCGCCCGGCGCTTGCTTCGGCCCGGCCCGGCCCGCGCCGAAAGCGTCGAATGCGCCTGCGCGCCGCAGCCACCGGGTCTCGGATGCGCCTGCGCACCGATTCCGGCCCCCCAAATGCGCCTGCGTGCCTTCTTCGGTCCTGGAATGCGCCTGCGTGCCACACCCGGTCCTCGAATGCGCCTGCGCACCGCTGCTACCGAGTCAGAAATACGCCTGCGCGCCACTGCCGGGTCTAGAATGCGCCTGTGCGACGCCTCCACCGGGTTCGGAATGTGTCTGCGCGCCCGCCTGCGGGGCACGCCGGGAACTGTAGTCTTCTTTCCCCGCCCTGCCGCGCAGGCGCCTTGCGTTTCCGAATCCCCGGAGGCCGCCGTCGCCTCCGGCGGAAGAGCTCCGCGGATGCCTGGGTGCGGGGTGGCGGGCAGGGCAGGGCTGAGCAGTGCAGCCCTGTAGCTGCAGCTTTGGGGCGCCTTTTTTGTGACGTCCTGGGGGTGTGGCTATGGGCGGGTAATTGGGCGTGGCTTGAATGGGGCGGAGTAGGATCCACTTTGTTACCCCCCACCCCCCCTTAACACACACCTGAAGCTGTGGTCTCTGCGGGCTCGGTTAGGAGGGCCGTTGACGACTATGGGCCCGCAGGCCTGGCTTTCAAGAGGGAATCTGAATCCCGGCGCTAGACTCTCATGCCAGGCTGACCTTTGACCACACCTTAGTGCTGCTTAAACAGACCGGAAATCAGTGGATACGCAGTGGGAGGTTATAGGAGCGGGAACAGACGAGCAAAGTCCCTGTGGTTGTCCCGTGCCCACACCTACACTCCACGCCTGGATCTTTGAGAGTTGGGGGTGGCAACGTAGTTAAACCTTGCTGGAGGGTGTGCCTGGTGTACTTGTGACCTCTAGGGGTGGGTGGTTCTGGCTCAGGGTAGTCAGGTGACTCACCTTGCCTGTGGGCATTCCTGCAGCAACACCTACAGGTGCTCCAACATCCTGTCCTGGTTGGGGATAGCAGGTAGACCGGTTTGGGGACAGGGAAACAGCGTCAAAGGTGGGGCTGGTTGATGTGGCCACACTTCACGTGCAGCAGAGCCAGGCCTTGGCTGTCCTCCCCCTGGAGACTCTGGGTTCTCGGGCTTTGCTCTCCCGAGGGCTCCTGGTGTTCTCTGCTTCTCTTGCCGGTCTCAGACTTAGTGTCACTAGTTGTCAGCTCATAGTAAATAGCCCAGGCTTTCCTCTTAGTGTGCCTGGGATGCCACTCCCACAGCCTACACTGGGAAGCCCTGATGGACAGAGGGACAGGGTTCCCTCCCTCCCTTGCTCCCTTCCTCCATGGCTCCAAGTGAGCCTGCATCTGGGCACATAGACATCCTGAATGCTGGGTGTTGGCCTCTGGCGACTGGGGTCTCCTCACTTCTCTCCTACGTGTTCACACATGGATATCATGACCCCAAGTCCCTAGTCTCAGAGACTGTCTGATCAGGACAGTCCAGGCCTCAAAGCCAGGAGCAATCAGATCCCTACCCCAAGCTACAGGGGTGGCTCATGAGAACCCTTGGCCCTGGGCATTTCCTCAGAGTGGGCTTGGCAGGTAACAGGACCACTCTTGCCCTGTTGTGGAAAGCTGAGACCTCCCAGGAGGGAGAAGCTGAGGATAGTGTGCTTCTGAGACTTTTGTGTTTATTTATTTATTATTTGGTGGAGACAGGGTTTCTTTGTGTAGCCCCAGTGGAATTCCCTCTGTAGACCAGGCTGGCCTTGAACTCACAGAGATCTGCCTGCCTCTTCCTCCCAAGTGCTGGGATTAAAGGCGTGCCCTGCAGCTGCCACCCAGGGCATTCGTTGACTTTTGAGACAGAGTTTCTCAATAGTACGGAGACTGACTTTTAACTCTGTAGCTTTAGAATGTGTGATTCTTTTGTTCCAGCCTCTTAAAATTCTGGGTTGCCAAGTGTGTCCACCAGGCTCTGTTTCTGTTAGTGATCCTGGGTCCAGCCGTCCTGACTTCATGCACGGGAACTTCTGTGTCTTTTTTCTTTTGTTTTTATGTTGAGCCACTTGAGTTGGGCCTTTTGTCAACTACCAAGTTTACATTCATGGTTACCTTGGATGATATGTCCCGTCAAAACCAGGTTTTTGTTTATCTGTAAGAAGCATGGGATTGAAAGACCTGGATAAATCCAGACCCCCCCCCCCAGCAGGAAAAAATAGAGGCAAAAATCTAAGCTGGGAGAGAAGAATCAGAAATCTAGAATTAACCGGTTCAGTTTCACGAACTAGCTGAAGATAAAGTTTGTAAAGATTGTAATCTTGAGAAACAGGGAGTTGTCCCCTTGTGATTATCATTGGTATTTTTGGAATTTTCTATGAAGCCCTCCCTACCCCTTTGGATTACTGATCTGTAGTTTCTTCCCTTAAAAACCCCTTCTCCCACTTACTGGGGTCAAACTCCTCCCCTGCGTGGGTTATGCACTCCCCAGTGCACTGGTTCCTGTCTTGTCCTTGTCGAATAAACCTCGCATGATTGCAGCAAGGACGGTCTCTTGTGAGTTACTGGGGGGGGGGGTCGTGTTATCCCGAGACTTGAGTGAGAGTCTCCCCACACCCAGGGGTCTTTCAGGATGAAAGCTGGGCGGTGGTGGTGCACATTTGAATCCCCAGCACTTGGGAGGCAGAGGCAGGCGGGTCTCTGTGAAACCAGCCTGGACTACAGAGTGAGTTCCTGGACATCCAGGTCTACACAGAGAAACAAAACAAGAAACAGAAAAAGAAAAAATGAGTCATGGAGCCAAGGCGAAGGCTCGGCATGAAAATCTGGGTTCGGATCCTTAGCATCTGGTAAGAGTCAGGTGTGGTGGCACAGGTCTGTAACCCCAGCAGAGGCAGGAGGATCCCTGGGACTCACTGGCCAGCCAGCCTAGTGGAAATGAGAACCCCTCTGTCAGGAATAGGAGGAGGAGCCATTGAGGAATGCAGGTGCAGGCCTCTGGCTTCTTCACGCGAGATCAGGCCGGCACACCATTATGTTCTTGTCACATCCAGTGTGAGTCGGTTCCACATTGCTGAACTCAGCCTGAGGCGGTCTGACTTCAGCTCCTTTAGTGTTTCCCAGCCTTAGGTAGCCCAGGCTGGCCTTGAACTTGCTCTGTAGCTAAGGAGTTCTGAACAGGGGCTCCACCCTGACTATGCAGTCAGTACCTCATTGGGAGATTCTAGGCAGAGGCTCTATTCCTTAGCCAGGTCCTCAGCTCTCTTGGAGTTTTTCTTTTTGGATGTGTGTGTGTGTGTGTGTGTGTGTGTGTGTGTGAGTCAGTCAGAGGACAGCTTGCAGGAATCAGAGCTGTCCTTCCACCAATTGAACTCAGGTCAGTTTGGTGGCAAGTGTCACCTCACCCACCCTTTGTATTTTGAGAGGTCTCACTAAGTTGCCTAGGCTGGCTTGAACTCGTGGACTCCTGCCTCAAGTTGCCCAGCCGCACTGATGCTCTCTGAATCCCATGACTGACAAGAGACAGGCTGGACCTGCTCCATCTCTCAGCATTTCTGGGACGCAAGTCAATCAACACTGACTAAATGAGAGATCCAGAAACTTCCTCAGTGCCCTCACTCCATTCCCCTGGGAGCTCACTAGGCATGTAGGAGACAGGACACAGGAGTGACAGGCATGAGAACCACATGTCCTCTGCTAGGTCAAGAAGGCTATCCTCCAGGATTTGGTTGGAGCAGGGTGCACTGAACAGAGCATGGATGGGTGGAGGTTGGGGGTGACAGACAATGAGCAGAGGCCCGTGCATCTCAACCCACAACTTCCTGAGCAAGGGCCCGCCCCCTTTTCCACCTCCTGGCACCACACCAGTTACGGTCTGGGGGCGTGGTCAGGGGTGGAGACCCGCCTAGAATCCTCCCCGCCTGGAATCCTCCCGGGAGGACCTTAAGGGTGGAGAGTCCTTGCTGCTAGAATATTTAACTATGGAAAGATACTTAGCATCTTTGTGTTGCAGAATAATTGTTCAGCTGCCTAAAGATGTGTTGATGTTTTACCTTGTCTGCCTAAGGCACCTGATTGTTCTAATAAAAAGCTGAATGGCCAATAGCTAGGCAGAGGAGGGTTAGGTGTGGCTGGCAGGCCGAGAGAAAAGGGGAGCCAGTCAGACGGTAGCAGATAAGGAAAACTCATAGACGGGCGGCTCATAGATAGGAGGAACGGGCTAATCTAAGTTAAAGGAAGAGCTAACTAGAAACAACCAAGCTAAGGACGAGCGCTCATAATTAACAGTAAGTCTGTGTCGTGAGTGGGGGCTGTTAGTCTAAGAAAGCCTGCCAAAAGTCCTGACATCGGCAGAAATGGGAGGACCCTAAGAAATCCTCCCAATGATCCCTTCATCTTTGGTAGTCTGGAGGGACCTTGGGGGATGGCAGTGCTTGGTCGAGGAGCTGCACACAGGCGACTAGCAAGACCGGGGGGGTCTTTTCAGATTTTATTTCTGTGAGTATGGAAGACAGGCCAAAACAGAGGGGACTGAACTGTAGATGCTGGTCCCCTCCCTGGGCGAGGGCCCTGTGCAGGAAACCGGGACACCAGTTTGCAGGTCCCTAGTCCTCGCCCTCCCTGCGAGGTGGCAGGGCGTGCATACATTCTGGGCTCAACCCACAGGCTTGACCTTGGCAATGAAGAGGGCTGCAGCCTTCTCCAGGAACTCCTCTCGGGCCATGGGCACGCTGGGCCGCCGTCCTGTTGCTGCCCTGTCCAGGGCACGTGCCAGACTGTCGGGGCCAAAGCGGGAACCGGCCTCTAGGTAGTGTGTGGGCGCTGCCGCCAGGTCTCCTGTGCCCAGCGCGCCCTCGAGCGTGTCCAGTACGGCCTGGCCCACTCGCCTATCGGCCACTGCCAGGCCTGGGTCCTCCAGAAGCTGAAAGAGGGCGCTGGCTCGCGCCACGAACTCCAACAGCACGAAGCATGACAACATGCCGGCCCGGAAGATGCCCAGTGGCACAGCCTCGTGGTCCCGGCACTGGATCTTGCGCAG